ACCAGCTCCGCTTCTCCTACCTAGCTGTTATTGAAGGGGCAAAATTCATCATGGGAGATGCTTCAGTGCAAGTGAGTGCTCCTGGCAGCTCCAGAGAACTGCAGCAAGTGGGTGGGAGGAACAGGATGGGAAGAAGCTTCAAATTTGGTGCTTGTTTCAGCTTCAGTACATGTTTATGGGGTTTTTATGTACAGTGCTTTACAATCTATCATGACCTAAAGTGCTGTATTTTATTTATTTCCAAAAGTACCTGTTTTGTAGCAGGTGCCTCCTGTGCTTTCCTGCACAGTGACTGGGGTGGAGCTGCTGCATCAGCCTCCCCTGGAATTTCAGACAGTACAAGTTTTCTAATATGCCTGAAGTTTAAGTGCCATGATTAAATTCATCAGGGTTTTTTATGGTAAGCAGAGCTCTAGCAAAATAGATTTTATTTTGTGCTTAAGTTTTTTAGAAGCAGATTGCAATTTCTTGCTTTTATGGCCAATATGTTTTGTGTAGTCCGTGTAGCTTGGGCTTGGAGTTCTTGTGTCTGTTTTTTCTTTCTTTTTTTGCAATGCAAATGAAGAGCCTTGTAAGAGTTAATTAAAAGGCAGAGTGTAAAGATTCTGCCATGGCAAAGTTTAAAGTTAGAGCAGCTTGGAAGAGAAAAGCTTACCAGGTTTGTCCTTCCCTGAAGGAGCAGTGGAAAGAGCTCTCCAACGAGGACCTGGAGCCACCCCCTGAGCACACCCCCCCACCTCCCAGGCCCCCGAAGAGAACCTCAGAGATGCACAACGGGAGGATGCACGAGCACCCCGAGCTCCTGGGCAAGCCCCAGGCAGGGGAGGAGGAGACCAGGAGCTCGCTCAGCAGCGTGGAGGAGGCAGCTGCAGACAGCAGGGCCCGCTCAGCTGCGGCCCCCAGCACAGACAGGTAAAGCACAAAGCACCCGCTGCCCCTGACAGCTCTGCACACAGAGCCACAGGCAGGCAGTGACAGAGGGGAGGAGATGCTCACTTCCACCCTGAGATGCACTTTGGGGGTTAGGGCTGAGCGAGCAGCCACATTCTGTCCCTTCCTGGCTTTCTGGGCAGGTGCTTGAGGTTAGAACTTTGGTGTTCCCCTGACCCGGCTGGGGGTGTGAGCTGGGTTCTGTCACTGCCTGTCTTGGCAGATTTGTGATGAGCAGTGAAAGCAGAAGGTGGTAAAAGCTTATTCTTTGAAGGGCACAGAATCCTCCCAAGCTCTTCCTAACCCTCTGTTGAGCAGCCAGCTGTGTCCTCACTGGAGACAGGCTGTGCTTTGGTGGCTGCCGCAGCTCCAGGAGCTTTCCAGCTCTGTGGTGTTCCCTGCCCTTGGAGCACCTGCATGGCTTCTCTCGTGCAGCAGGGACTGTTCATTCCCAGCCAGCCCTGAGTGTCCCTCCCTCTGTCCCCAGCACTAGTCACGACACTGAAGCCCGGAGGAGACCGGTGGGGGACAACCCGCGGCTCGCGCCCCGCAAGGAGGAGTCGGTGAAGGAGAGCTCGGAGGAGGAGGATGAGAGCGTGGTGGCCACTTGGAAGCCCTTCCTCGTGAATATCTGCATGTTCACGTTCCTGACGGCGGGAGCTTACCTGTGCTACAGGGTGTGTTTCCACTGAGGGCGGCAGGAGCGCCGCTCGCGCCCGGCTCCGCGGAGCCCCGCCAGGCAGGGCAGCCTTGGCTCACAGCAGGTAGATTTAGGGGAAAGGCCAGAACTTTGGGTAGGGCTTCATGAGAGAATTGATGCACTAGGGTTTTATCCAGCCCTGTGGTCCCAAGAACATAATATTGTAATCTCAGGGCCTTGAAATATTCAGGAGTAAGCAGAGAAAATGCCAAATAGTCTGTTTTCCTTTTTTTGTTTTCCTTTTTTTTTTTAACTAAATAATAGAATTACAACACATTGTTGTTTTTAGACTTTTTAAAAAAGCCAGTTCATTTTCTTTTGTTTCAAAAAAACTAGGCACAAGTGAAACTTGCTTGTACTCTCCAAGTGTTGTAACCAAATACATGACTTACATTGACAAGTTCCCAAAAAAAGAAAAAGAAACCCACATACCTGAAGAATGTAAACTTTTGGAAGGGGAGGTGTGTTTGTGGTTGGTTTTTGGCTTGTTTTTTGTCTTTTTTTAAATTTGCTTCATCTTTAAAGACTGAGTTGTGGGCAGTGCCTGTGGTATTGATATATTTAATCTTGGCATAACTGTTCTTAAAGAGCTGATTGTTTTATTTGTGTTGATAGAACCAGGCTTCTGCATTTGCTCAGGGTATCCCAACACGTCCAGCTCTTTGATTTTTTTTTCTTTTTTTTTTTTCTTTATTAAGTGTATCTCCTCATTGACTTTTGTTGCACTCTACTTGCACATATGCCTCTTTACATTGCACCATCCTTTCTAAAGCTGTTTTTACTTTTATATTCTGGGCTGGGAGAGGCCGAGGGGAGGGAGAGAAACAGGAAAGGGAAATTCAACCAAACCATGTCCACCAGCAGTGGGGCCATGCCCGTGGCCCGTGGAAGGACCAGTCCTTAAACCTCAGCATTTGGAATGTAAAATGCAGTTTCACTCTGCAGCGTGGCGCTGGGCAGGGGGGCTCTGGGGAGAGCCAGAGCAGCCTCCCCTGGGCAGGAGCAGGCCAGCGGGGCCGTGCTGGGCTCTGAGCAGCCCCGGGCTGTGCTGGCCGTGCTGCTGTGCCCTGCTTTGCTGCGAGCAGGCTCCCCGTGCTGGCTCTGGCAGCCCCGTGGGCTCCCACAGCAGCCAGGCTCACGGCTGAGTGCTGCCAGGCAGGGTTGGTGCGTGGGGAGGACTGGCACTGGAGGCAGCATTGCACCAGTGCTGTTCCTCGGGGCAATACCAAATTATTCACAGTTTCAACAATAATAGCAAAGGCTTCTTTGCTTGTCATGGTGCAGAGGACAGGAGCACAGTCACTCCTGGGAGCTGCAGTGATTGAACTGCCCCATGACAGCTGATGTGCAGCAGTGTTACTGATTTGTTTTATTTCTAGAGTCTTTCTAGCTCTATAGCACTTAACCACCCTGAGTGCAGCCCTCGCTGTGGAGGAGCCCAGGGGAGCCCCTCCACTCCGTATTTATTTTGGCCAAGCTGGCTGTAGGTGTAGCTCTTCCTTCAGTGGGTGAGTAGGTGAGGGGTGGGTGGGGTGGGAGTTACTCTATTCTGTGTTTTGTTAAGCTTGCATCAAGGGCTTTTCAAGAGTACAATAATAAATCCTCAGGTAGTACTGGGACTCAATCCTTTACCTGTGAGACTGTTGGTCAGACCAGTACTTGAAAGGAGGAATGTTGTAATCAGTCAATATTTAGTTATATTATTGGAAACAGGAAAAATGAGTATAGAAAAATGGTAATATATAATGGCTCATCTGTGTATTTAAGATACATTCTGTGATTGCTTTGTCCCCACTGTTCTCTGCAGCGTGGGCAGGCCCCTGCCCTGAGGCACCATTTGTACCCCTTTGTACTCAGTGCATGTGAAGTCTGCGGTGTCCCAATGAAACACCACCTGCTTGAAAGGTGACAGAACTTATATTCCTGCTTCCTGATGTGCCCAAATGATATTTGCATGACCTGATCCTTAGTGGCTGTGGTTCAGAGGGTGTTGCTGAGTGTCTGTTCAGCACTGGACCGTTGGTGTTTATCAGAGCCCGTGTACTCGCCTAATCCTTGGCATGACTTCCCGTGGGATCCCGTGTGCTCCGTGTGCCCGGTGCTAGCATGTTCCTTTCAGCTGAGTGAGTGTAGTACAGACATTCCAGAGAGCTCAGGCAGCCCTTCCACACCTCCCCTGGGCCTGGGGCACTGGGGAAAGAAACAAACCCACCCCAGCTCTGGCCATCTTCCCAAGAGGGAATATTTTAAATGCCAGGTATGGCCAGAAAGAAAGGATCCTTCCTTTGAATACAGAGTTATTCAATTGCAAATGATTCTACCCAAACAAAGCTCCTGCAGATGCCAGAGGAGCTTTGAGCATCCTGTTGGTGCCTGTTTCTTCCCTGTGTTCCAGGCCCAGCTCTGACCCTGGCTGGGCACAGTGAGTGTGCCCAGGGCCCAGGGAGGTGTGGGCAGGGCTGGCCATGCTGAGCTGTGCCCATTTTGTTTGCTGTCCTGTACTGTCTGTGGTAGTTGGGGGGTGTATATACCGTAGCACAGTGGGGTGTTGGGTAACCTGTTCTTGGAAATGGACAAACATCCATGTTAGACTCGTTAGAAAGTTAGTGAGCTGCTCTGCTATCTGCCTTAAGCAAATATTTACTCATCAGGTCTTTCTTTTTTACAGATTGCCATAGAATAAACTTTTATAAAAAAATATGTAAAAACTCAACAAAAAAGCTGAATGTTTTGGTATAATACAGTTTCAGGTATCTTGTCTTTTGTGTAAGCCGCTGCTGGGCCTCCCAGGTTAGAGTACAACTGTACAGTTTTTCAATCTCCCATACAAGTTTTCAGTTCTCATTTTAGTTGTAACAATAAAACTCTTTTTTTAAAGAACTCATTGAATGTGTCATTGCTTCTGGCTGGGTCCATGGGCTCCTGTCTGACCCACGTGCCCATGAGTGTTGGGGGAGGTAGGTTTGTAGAATAAAGGGATTTAAATGTTGCTGTAAGAACTTTGTGGAGGCAGAGCTCCAGTAAAAGAGCAGAGGATCCCCATCCCTCCCTGCCACCTCCATTTCCCTCTTCTGGTCTTTCACATTGAACAGTTAAATTTTAAGGGTAAGAAGTGCAGGAACTCGAGCAGCCTGGTTGGTTTCTGCAGGAGCTGATGTTGATGCTGTTTGCAGCTGCAGCTTGCACAGCCTGGAGTTTGAATTCCAGTACTTACCTTTGGTTTATATTTTCAGGGAAACCTAGAGCTGGAGGAGTGAGTTCACCAAAGTGGAGCAGGACAGGGCAGATCAGGGCCCTGTCCCTTGGGGTTTAGCGCCTCTTACCTGTCCCCAGGGCTGCAAACACAGCAGTAGGAAACACTCCCAGGAACTTGTCTCAAATGGTTTATTAGAACTTTAGAAAACAGTATGAAATCCAACAAATAAATACCAAATAGAAAAGTTTCATGTGTATATATATATATAAAAATATGTACACACAATCCCAACCCCCTTTCAAGTATTGCACCTGAAGCCAGGCTGCTCCCCACGGGCACCCTGCCAGCCAGGGCTGGGGATGAGCAGGAGAACTCTTGGTCTGTGACTGAGCCCAGAGTTTTAAAAGAGCAAACCCATCCGTCCCTCAGTGAGAGCTGCCCGTGGCAAATGCAGTGAGCACACCCAGCTCTTACAGAGCCTGCCTGAGCTGCAGCAATTGCACACTGACTCAGGGAGTGCCAGGTTCTCCTGCTGCAGCTGCATGGCCCCAGCAAAGGAAACCACCAAGCAGTGGTGCTGGATTTGTGCACCTGACAGGGCAGCTGGTCTGGGACGGTGATCATTTCTTTCTTTGGAGAATGCCAAATCAATAAACCACTTCCTGGGAAAATGGATCATATTGGACAGAGTTGGAGCATGGGCAGCTAATTTCAGCAAGATGGAGATTTGAACTCCAGTTAAGACCTGGATCCACATTCTGAGAGATCCCAGTTTTCATCTGTCCAGCACTTGGTATTTCCTCATGTGCAGAGCGACTGAGAAAATGCATTCCAGGCTGCATCACGGCAAGGACAAACTGTCCCCTCTGGAAATAAACCTGTGCTGGGGCAGGAGATGGCAGGGACAGGACAGAACAGAAGGAAACCAGACAGAACCAAACCCTCAGGTACCCGTGGGGCTGTGAGGACAGGGGGATCCAGCTCGCTAAAACACTGTGATTTCAATCTCGGCCTCCTGAGCAGTTTCTCTCAGCTCACAGCAGATCCTGTCCATCTTCTCAAAGGCTTGTCGGCCCCGCTCCCCTGGGGAGAGAAAACAGCCCCTGCTGAGGGACAGGCAGGGCACCTGAGGAACCTCTGGGGACACTGCTGTCCTGTCAGCCTTGCTAGGAAGGAAGGAAGGACCCAAGGGTGACAAACATCCCTCAGGGAATAGTTCTCCAAAACCTGATGGAAGCCACCGTGGAAAATCAAGCCTCCTGCAATGATTTCCATGAGTAACAGTCTGGGGTGCCACAGCTGGAAAACCTGTCTCACGTGGGCCTGAGTGTTCTGTGGGGCAGGGGTGGAGATGCCAGAACTGAGCCTGGCTCAAAGTGGGCTCTGGAAGAGCAGAGCAGGGAAGTGGGTGTCTCTGCATGGCCTGGCCGTGCTCTGGCAGCATTCCAGCTGTTGGGCCCCCAGGAAAAGCACAAATGCTGGGCAGGAGGAGGTGGGGAGCACTGACATTTTACCTGCTCCCCTCCTCTGTCAGTCACTTGTCACTTGGATTCCAGTGAAGGAACAGGTAATGAACCAGCATCACACTGTCAGTCCTCATCCATGACCTTTTCAAAAGGTTCAGTGGTTCCTAGAGCACTTAATCCTTCAGGATCTCCTTGGTCTGGTTCTATAAATTTCATCAGGGGCCCTTGGCTGTTATGTGTGATGTAAAGTTTATCTTCATGGTATGAAACAGCTCTTCATGAAATATTCCTGCTGTCCTGGATGTGTTTAGGCTGTACTTGAGGCCCCTCCTGGTCCTGCACTATTTCACATCCCTCTTTCAGACCATTTTAAAGCTGTACAAAAGCCTTACCAAAGGACAGCGTGGTTTCCCTGGCAGCATTCCTGACTTCCTCTGTTTCAGACTGGCACAGGTGGGCAACCTGCTCAATGCTCTCCACGGCCTGTTGGAAGAAAGCAGAATTTGCCTGAGCAGCTTTTCAGCAGTTTGATGGACATTTCTACAAAGCAAACACAGACACACACTCCCATCTCCTCTGACATCCAAATTCCACCAGGACCTTTCTCTTCCCCAGCATACTGGCTTGCAGTTACATTTCCTGATGAGATCTCACCTTTGTTACCTTCTCTCCTGTTTTAGGGCATCAGAAAGTGTCAAAGTTCCAGGGTACAGGTCATGGTTGTGGGACCATTAAATCAGTACCAGCCAACAAGGACCTTCAGGTTAATCCTGAAAGGGTTAATCCCAGCTGGTGCTTTGCAAATCGACCCTGATTTGCTGTTGTGTGAGTACCTGTTCGCAGACATTGGTTCCCTGTTCATGTGCAAACCTATTACAGCAGCTTAGGGCTCTTGGAAAGGTTTAAATCTGTGCTGTTTCTTATAATAGCAATGCAAATATTAGTTTTGTTTTGTGACTTTAGCGAGCTATTGTTTAAAATATCCCCTGATTTAACTTCAGGTTTCTACGGTTAAGCGTAGAAATTCTGATACAGAAACGTTGCTGGTTTATGCCTGTGCTGGATGTCCCCAGTCAGACGCTGCCCTTCAGCACGCAGCATCGCAGGAGCTCTCACCCCGAGCTGTGCCCGGCAGGCCGGGCACTGCCCCAGCTCCCTGTCCTGGCACTGATGGCACTCACAGCCCGGAGCCGCGGCCGGCACAGCCGCTGCTTCCCCTCCCTGCTAAACCCAGCCCAGGGTTTGATCCCGGCATTGGGGCAGGGCCCGAGCGCTCACCCGGAGGTTCTTCAGAGCCAGACACGCGGCCTGCTGCAGCCTCGAGTCACAGCCGGACAGGGCATCGGTGTAGAACAGCACAGCCTGGGGCAGAACGCACCAAACAAAACACAGAGTCCATTTAATACCCAGCCTGAGCGGCAGGAGCGGGGTTACCCGTGACATGAACCAGGGCAGAGACGCTGGAGCAGCGCTGCCTTCGGGGCTCGGTCCCGGCCA